TTAATCATTCTTCATAAGCTAAATGAGCAAGATAAAGTGCTAGAGAAGATTAGAGAAAGTGTATAAGTGCGAAATCAGATGAGCAACTCTCACTCTAGATCTATCCAGTTAATCGAAACTATCCTAAGTCATGTGCTTCCTCAGCCTCATCTGCATGAACAAGTGGGATCACCTAGATGCACTAGGTGCAACCCCAAAAATCTGATTTAAGCATTGACTTGCGTCGTGTCACAACGTTAACTAAGGCGTTGTTTGGGAGGCAACCCAAAACCTTTACGATCTTTAGTTTTATTCTAGAAATAATGGTGTATTAATTTCAGAGGAGAAAACGTGGAGAATGAGTGAAAAATGTGGATTGGTAATTGATAGTCCCATTCGGTGAGTCACCGAACTATTCGGCGGCTTCGATCTAGACCGCCGACAGACTAAAGATCCAAGCTACAGTGTGTAACAATTGGCGGTGAGGGCAATCACTTGGCGTAACGCTGAATCATTCAGCGGTACAAACTAATATCGCCGAATGTGCAATAACTGGACAGTTTTTAAATGCCAATAGTTTCAAAAATAGAAAAATGTTCATTTTCCACTCAATTTCTACTGTCGAAAAACCACACCTAGTAAGTAATTTTCATTATCTCTACACTCCTGGTATTTTAGTTGTCGATTAGTGCTAAAGCGTGGGATTACAGTGCTTCCTAGTATTTCAACACAGATCAAGCAGCATAAAAGGTTGGTTTCTCCCAAATCCTGAAACTACTAAAATTTCGTTCTCATATTAAATTGAAACTGGTTGGGTTGACATGTGCTAGGCCTCTCTGTGATAAACCTATCTTGTCTAAGTGCCAGATTCGATTTGAGAATCGTGCCTAAGTGATCTTGACTTTTGAAATCCCTCTTTGCCTGTGCATGAAATGATTTAAGCTTTGGGTAGATGAATGTCATGGGTCTTAATTTAATTTCACTATTGCAACTGTTAATTGTATTTTGGGAATTTGCGAGGTCGAATTCAAATTGAAAGAAGGCACGTTAGGTTGTTTAGCGAACTAGGTCAGGTTCGTCAAACAACTAGGCGGCTCGCCTAAAGTGGCTTCGATCGCCCTCTGTCTGCATTCCTGAATCTTCATTGCACTGTAACTTTCAGCGACCGAACCTTTGATCTCCAATAGTAGTCGGTGATTTGTGAATGGAACTTTCTCATCGCCGACTAGTGAAAGCTATTAGGGAAAAATCCTAGGCGAGCTCAACTCGACTCGCCAAAGAGATTTGGTGATTCGCCGATGAGTTCAGCGCATTTGTCTGCCACTAAAGGTCTGCACCACTGATTTACTTATTTCTAACTTACTCCTTATTGATTACAGACATTGCTAGACCCAAAGTTACAAGAAGCAGCAAGCCAACTCAAAGCAAGAAAAAAGGGATAACAATCAACGATGATTCAGCTGCATCCCAAAAGCAATGTTGCAAAACTTTCCAATACGAGTAGAAAAGGCAAGGGCAAGGAAAAAATCGTTGACCTATCAGATGCAAGCTCCGATAGCATGGGTTTTTACACCAATGACCCAACAACATACGATAGTGATAGTATGAGTTCAGATGAAGACGAACTGATAGAGGCACGGAGGAATGAGCTACGATCCAAACAGCTTAATGACCCATCGCGGCTCCAAAACAGGCAATAATACGGGCACCTCCAATACAAGCCTCCCTGCCTAGATCATCGAATAGATTAAAGTCTGATGGACTAAGAACGATCATTGAAGAAAAACGGTTGTCCATAGATGGGGTGATCGATAGGTATCCTGAGATAATGGAGTGCCTGAAATATCACAAATTTCAAGTTTTTACAAAACCACATGGTTCTTATATGCCAAGCTGGGTCAGAGAGTTTTATAGTGCATACAGTGCATTGGTACTTCAGCGGAAGAGACTAGTCGCATCTTTCAAAGCAGTTGACTATGTGGTGGTCGGAGGAAGGAATGTAGTTTGTGACAGTGAGGCTATCAACATAGCCTTGGGTATGTCCAATAAGATTAATGATCACTGTCAGTACTTGATCAGAACAAAGTAGTTGGATGCGATGAAACAGTGGTTGGTTCCGCTAATCTCAGATAACAATACTCTGAAATGGCTAGCAGAAGGAATCCCAATCGAAAAGAAAGATCTGAACGTAGCTACAAGATATTGGTTTGGGTTCATCAGCAGCACTATCATGCCGTCCCAGAATGAGTCCATTCTGCGTCATCTGAAAGTGGCTTGCCTTGGTTCTATCATGTCCAGAAGGCAGTTCAATCTGGGATTGCTGGATTCACAAGAGATGGCTATGAAGGCCAAACAGACACAGAGGTCTCTGTCATTTCCTGTACTGATCACTGATCTATGCCAGCAAGCTGGAGTGCCACGTGACATTACGAGGGATGTTAAAGTTACCCCATCTTCCTCCACCAACATCCGGCGTATAGAGGCCGAGTTCACACGAGAGGAGATTGACAAGAGGAGGGCAGCCCAACAGATACATCTCCAGAGGTCGATGTTGATGCATTACCAACAAAGACACCTTCGCATACTCTGGCCTCTGAGCCATCAGGTATACCTGATCCTCCCTCCTCTTCCTCTCAGGCCCCAGGTGTTTCATCATCAGCCCAGCCTTCCAGGATCACTCAGGCCATGATCCTGAAAATGGGACGGCTAGCCTACTCGGCGGATGTTAGGGCGACACGATTAGAGAGATCCGTCCCAGAGATGATTGACAGTGCCATCTTGACTGCGCTGACCCCCGTCAGAAACACTGTTGATGAACTGACTGCCAGAGTCACTGCTTGTGAGAGCAGACAGGGGGAGACACCTGAGGTTTCAGCCTTAAAAGATTAAATAGTCGAGCTGAAGAAGGACGTAGCCTATCTAAAGGCCACCGACTTCACAGTACTGATGCGAGGAGCAGATGACAAAGATATCCCTGAAACCTCTGGGATTCCCCTGACCACTCCTAGAGACGTGCAGAAGGATGATGTAGGGGATGTAGAGTCAGAGATAGAGACCGACGAAGAGCAGGTAGCAATGCACGACAAGGTGCTGAGCGAGAGCCAAGAGGACATCATATTCAGAGACCTGCCGAATCTTGTGGAGACGGTTGTGCAGTCGGCAACTCAAACAGTGCTAGCTGAGCCATCCACAACAGCTCCCAGTGGATCTGGCATTGCTAGTATGTCTGAGGCTACTCCCGAGACTGAGACACACAACCAGATAGATATACTGGGCACCGATGTCCATATTCAGGCCCCGACAGATAGAGAGACTGCATAGACAGGACCCTTCCTTACCTCTCTCGCGTTGTCTTTTCCTATCTTACTTATTGGTATATTTTTGATTAATTGCATTTGAGGACAAACACTCTTTATTTATGGTGGGGTGAGGCCCACACCTTTTGTGTTGACATTCATGTTTTGTTCTGTATAAATTTGGGTTGTCTGCTTTAATTTGTGTTTTAATTACTGCTTTTATGTGGTTGTTTAAGCTTATGGCTCCTGTTGTTTAATAGTGCTCTCAATTGAACAAACATGAATTCACGGCTACGACGAGGTCAAATGAAGTTACATAGACAATATGTGCACTCTTTGCATCTCGTTGTGACTAGCTATTTATCAAATTGATTTTCTTGTGAGGACCGTTGCACACTAGCGAACGTGTCTAGTCTTGTTTGACTGAAGCATCGATGCCTTGTGTGATTAGCTTACTGTGAACCATGCATGAATAAACCTAGAATTTTCTCCGTAAGTCTGATTGATTTAGAAAGGTGTACTCTTGAAATGATTTTAGGCAACTTTTGAAGAGTGTAAACCAATTTAACATATACCTCTTTTTGTGGCCTACTTGTGAGCATGTGAAACTCTTTTGAACACCCTTTGAGCCTTACCTTTCTTTGGAAGAACCTTGATGAACCCTAGACCTTACTTGAACCACTACCTAAAATCATCTTGAGTTGTGGTTTAGCGAATAGCCAACCACTACAAGAAAGTGAACATACTACGACATTTTCTAAATGTCGTATCACGGGGTTTAAATGTCACAAATTTGTTTATCGACATTTCTTTTACATTTTGACCAAATGTCGTAAATTTTAGTGTCGAGAATTTTTTCGACATTTAGATAATTGTCGGGAAGAATTTGTGACATTTACTTTGTGACATTTAGGTAAATGTAGAAAAGAATTTACAATATTTACTTCGCAACATATAGTTAAATGTTGGTAATAAATTTATGACATTTATTTTTTGACATTTAGTTGAATGTGGCTAAGAAATTTACGACATATATTTTTGACATTTAGGTGAATGTCAGTATGAGATATATGACATTTATTTTTGACAAATAGATAAATGTCTGTATGAGATATATGACATTTATTTTTAACATATAGGTAAATGCCGATATGAGATATATGACATTTATTTTCGACAAATAGATAAATGTCAGTATGAGATACATGACATTTATTTTTGACTATTTAGGTAAATGTCGATATAGAGAATATGACAATGATTTTTGACATTTAGGTAGATGTCGGTAAGTAATTTCTGACATTTATGAAATGCCACTTAAATTTTTTGACATTTAAATTAAATGTTGGTAAAAAAAAATTCAAGACACTTGTGACATTTATAAAATGTCACAGACACTTTACTTAACGTCAACAAATGAAGTTATTGAATGTCATAAAATTAGTGACATTATTCTAAATTTTGCAAAATGTCATATCATTTTCTACATTTAGACTAATGTTGTTATCAAGTTTCTTTAAACATCCCTAAAAAATTTATATATATTTTTTCTCAAGACACAAATACTTATACACAATTCATGCATTCAAAACTATCCTCTTTATAACCAATATTTTATGTAAAGCAAATATTTTCTAATATTATAACCAAAGAACAAATAGCACTGTAATAAGTGTACAGTAAAAGTTAAACAATGTCAAAACAAATGATCTGTTCTATCTCAAGTAAAAATGAGATCTAACTAATTACAATAATTTTGAAAAAATCAACTAATTAAGTCCTAATTAAAATGGAATTAAAGTCACTAATAAAATCTGCAATAAAGCTTTATGATCAATCCAAAAGTCGAGCATTTTGAAGTTGATTCTTGACCTCAGTTTCCTTAAAAATTCTGCACAAGAAATTCACATAAAAAAAAATTATAACTATATAATAATAGATATTAATCCTCATTAACTAGAAAAAATTGAGTTACAAAAATAACGAATTAAACTTTTCTAAAAACAAACATATTGAGGAATTGATGAAAAAGGAGTAACTATATAGATGATATTTTCCTCCCTTTGAAAAAACAAAGGAAAGAGGTTTGATGATTTGTAGTTTTTTCAAACTTACCCACTTCTTTTTATTTTTTCCAACTACACTAGTTCCAATCTTCTTGATCATGTTAGCCTGAGAAAAAAGATTAACTTGATTATTTTGATACTTTACGAAATTTAAAATCAACATTTCATTGAATACATAAGTGTGCCAATGTTTCCAGAATAATCAATTGTTGGGTGTTGGAGTGGAGACAAATGGCCGAGGAAGAAAAGAAGGTTGCGTTTAATAATTATGAACAAGAAAATCTACGTATAAGGAACTTGAGCAATCTGGACAAATAGATGAACATGAAGATTACTACCAAAACATTGTTATAAATAACGCAGAGGTCAAAACCAAAATTAATGACAAGGTGGAAGGCAACTAATATGCTGGACAAAATGAGGACAAACATAATAAGAGTTATACCAATCCTATTTGTAAAGATCTTAGAATGAGCAAACTTCAAGAAGTCCACAAATCAAAAAAAGGGCCTACTAAGGCCAGGAAAAGTAACAAGAAAAAAATACCTAGGCTTCAGATAAAAGAGCTATTCAAACCAACTTTATTTATGTATATATTTATGAGATTTCACTAATTAATTTTCAATCCATATAGAAGTAAAACAATACAAATATATTGATTAATTTATAACCAACCACACTATATAGCTCACACAAGTTACAATATATATAATTATAAGAGTAAACAAATAGCTAGAAATAACTATAACCAGAAGTTGTAAAAAGAGGAGGGAACTGGAAACCAAAGATAATTGTGACACAAAAAGGAAAAAAAGGAAAATGGGAAGAACAAAGGAACAATCAACAATAAAAAAGAATCAGTTCAACAAGAAAAGAAGAACAAGAATAAAAAAGTGTGACAAGAAGGAAAAGATGAAAAAATGGCAAAAGTTCTCCAGAAAAATATTCCCCTCCTCACAAAGGAGGGAGATCAAATTAGTTTTTCTCACTCTTATGTTTCCATGATTAGAGCAGTTTTTTGGAATATTAGGGGATGAAATCAAATAAAGCTACTCAAAGACTCAAAAAATTGATTAATGCAAACAACACTAACTTGGTTGCAATCCTTGAACCTTTTGTGTCCTTGACTAAGATCAATGGTTATATGAAGTATTTAGGATTTCAACATAGTATTTTCAATGATAATGGTAAGATATGATTCTTATTCACCGAAAATTCAGACTTAGCTTCTATTATATACAACAGTGAACAACCGGTTACTATAAAGATACACTACGGGGCTGCCAATATTGATCTTTTTATTCCTATTGTTAATGACAAATGCATGGCTACGTACTAACAGGAGAGATTTATGGACTAGCTTAAAAAATGTTTATCAGCATTTATACGGTCCTTGGTGTAATGGAGCGACTAAAATATAATGGGAAAATGCATAAGTACCCCCCCAGCCTATACCCGAAATCCCAGAGACACACCTAACCTTTACTATGGTCCTATTACCCCCCCGGACTTATTTTATATGTAATATTCTACCCCTTTTTGGCCTATGTGGCACTGTCTTGTGGGCCCAGTGCATGTTGACTTTTTTTTCAAGGATAGTGCCACGTAGGCCGAAAAGGGGTAGAATATTATAGATAAATTAAGTTCGGGGGGGTAATAGGACCTTAGTAAAGGTTAGGTGTGTCTCTGGGATTTCGGGTATAGGCTGGGGGGGTACTTATGCATTTTCCCAAAATATAATTCTTGACACTACTGAAAAATTGGGAGGTAGACAACACAGAATGCACACGAGTTAGTTGTGAAGTCACGAATCTTGGACAATTGGGACCTAACTTCACATGGTGCAACAATAGAAGACAAAACAAAAGAATATGAAAAAGGTTTGATTGAGTATTTTCTAATGACCAATAGACTCAATTGTTTCAGAGCAATGATATTAGACATTCGGAGAGAATTGATTCAGATCACAGACCTATCTTAATCAGTTGTTTTCATTATAATCAGATTGGTATTTAATACTTCAAGTTCGTAGATTTTTGGACTAAGCAAATTTATTTTCATGGCTTTGGTAGAAGAAGTTCAAGTTGTTATATCAAAGGCAATTCAATGTGGGTTCTACAACAAAAATTCAAGATTCTGAGCATGAAACTTTGATTGTGGTCCAGAGAAGTTATTTGGAATGTGAATGAGCATGTAAGTAAACGGGAAAGAAAAATGTTGGAACTGGAAGAACTGAACTTGGCTAACAACAACAACCAAAGTAGAGAAAATCTTCTCTAAAGTCAGGCAGAATATACGAGATGCATGGTTGGATATTCAACAGACACTATTGCAGAAAGCACATATCAAATAGGCCGAGGAAGGAGACAATAACACCCAGTACTTTCACAACATTATCAGATACAAAAGAAGGAGGCCACAACTACATAGGATCAAAAACCACAATGGTGGATGTGTATAGGGAAGTGATAACATCACCAAAGCAGCCGTACATCACTTAGAACATATCTTCAATCTACCACACCAGTTCACAGATCATGCTATTCTAGACATCATCCCGACTTGTATGAATCAGGAGGACAACATTAAGCTTACTAAGGTTTTTGATATAGAGGAGATTAAAGAAGCAATTATAAATATGAGTGCATGTAGTGCAACTGGACCAGATGGTTATAATGGGTACATGATGAGTGATTAACAGTTAATCGATTAATCCAAAATTAAAAAAGAAAGAAGAATCAATTGATTCCACGATCATATAAACTTTAGGATCTAAGCAAATTAAAATAAAATTCAAAACTTGAATGAAATTTTCTCGAACCTTTTTTGTGTGAACAACTGGAACAGGTGATAATGATTGTTGACAATCATCGAATGAGTTATCAGGAACCTATTGCAAAAGAGGAAAACTATTATAATTAAGAGAAACTAAGCAATCATCTAAAAAAGTACTTTTTTGTGAACAAAACAATTATTTCACCTGCTTTGATTTTAAATTTGCATCAACAATAATACCCAAAGACTCTATAACCAGAAGCAGTAAAAATAGGAGGGAACTCCAAACCAGAGATAATAGTGATGAGAAAAAGAGAAAAATGGAGAATGAGGGAAATGGGAAGAACAAAGGAACAATCAACAATAAAAAAGAATCAGTTCAACAGGGATTTGCTATACAAAATTAAGGAAGATCTACTCAAGGTAACAATGATAATATTCAAAAGGAACAAGATCAAAAGATATGGAAAGCAACAAAAATCAAATTGATATTGAAGAGCGAGAAATTGAAGCAGAAGAAGCTCCCAACACTTGCGATATAGTTCAAGAATCTAACAACATTCAGAGATGATAAACGACATATCCCCACAACAGTTAACAGTAACACTAGAAAGAACAACTAAAATAACAAAACACCAGATAACGCCAAGGGTCAAAGCAAACAAAATCAACAAAAACATAAGCAAAACGAAAATCACTCAGATATGGGTCAATTAATAGTCCAAGATGATGAAAGGCAACTGATTACTGTAGCTCATGGAGGTGAATACTATGAAACCTCTAGCAATATTCCAGCGAGATAAAGGTTATCCCTCGACTTGATTTGGTGATTGATCTTAATATAAAATCAATCAAAAAATTCCACACAACATCAAGGTATGCCTGAACAGAGAATTGAAATGTCAAGCCCTAATGGAAAAATTGTGATTGCCTGAACGTTTGTGAGTAAGGGTCATACTCTTGACAGGGTTCTAAATGATAGTAATGGTTTCTCTCCAGTTAAGAAAAGAAGAGCAAGGATCAAAAAGTGTGATAAGAAGGAAAAAGATGAAAAAATAGAAAAAGTTGTCTAGAAAAACATTCCCCTCCTCACAAAGGACGGAGATCAAATTAGTTTTTCCCAATCTTATGTTTCCATGAGTAGAGCAATTTTTTGGAATATTAGGGGATGAAATCAAAGAAAGCTACTCAAAAAACTCAAAATATTGATTACTAAAAACAACATTTACTTGGTTGCAATCCTTGAACCTTTTGTGATTATATTAAGTATTTGAGATTTCGACATAGCATTTCCAAAGATAATGGTAAGATATGGTTCTTATGGACCGACAATTATCAGACTTCTATTATAGACAACAGTGAACAATAATAGCTTACTATAAAGATACACTACGGGGCTGCCAATATTGATCTTTTTATACCTGCTGTTTATGCCAAATTCATGGCTACATACAGTGATTACTAGTTGATCGGTTAATCCAAAATTAAAACAGAAAGAAGGATCAGTTGATCCCATGATCATATAAATGTAAGGATTTAAGAAAATTAAAATAAAATTAAAAACTAGAATGAAATTTTCTCTAACCTTTTTTGTTTGAACAACTGGAACATGTGATAATGATTGTTGACAATCTTCAAGTGAGTTATCAGAACCTATTGCAAAAGAGGAACACTATTATAATTAAGACCAACTAAGCTATCATAAAAAAATACTTTTTTTTGTAAACAACACAATTATTTCACCTGCTTTGATTTTAAATTTGCATCAAGATTAATACCCAAAGACTCTATATATGCTTGTATTCCTTTCTTCACTTTATCAGCTATAATTTCTTCCATATCCCTTTTTGCTTCCGATAATTTTCTCTCCATCGCTTCCTTATCCTCTTTTGCTTCCTCTTTCGCTTCTAAAAACTTCTTATCCATCTCTTCCATCTCTATTTTTGCTTCAGATATCTTTTCGGTCATCTCAATTTTCATAGCTAAGGTAGCTTTTTGGACTTCCATCGCAACCCTTGTATCAAAATCTCTTTTTTCACCCTGAGATCATTTATATATGGGGCCATAAACTAAGCTTGGAGATGCTCCTTTTCCTAATGTTCGGACAATTCCATGAGCGTCTGATCCCATTACTTGTGAGTACATATCATTTGGAGCACATCCAGGGACATTCAAATCAGGATACACCTCAGCAAGATCATCCATTTGTTTCTTTTTGAAAGAAAGGTAAAGTAATGAAAAGTT